AACCTCCTTCTTCAGGTCGCGATACTCGTCAGGGGGGGTCTGGACTTCCTCATGGACAGCGCTGGCTTTGGCGTGGAGGGATGACTGGATGTGCTCGCAGTACTCCTGTACCTGTCTGGTGTAGTATGCATCTTTGTCGGCTTCAAAAACCGGGGAGAGATCGTGGGTAGTGTCGGCGCAGGTAACAATGGTATAGACATGGGGGAATGCCGTAATGCCTTCTAAAATACTGGCCTTCCAGGCGGGAGTGTCGATTTCCGGGGCCATTGTAGGTATCTTCGTGGGTATCTTCAATCGCGACGTGTCAATCGCGCTGTGGGTGTCTTCGTGGGTGGTCTCAATCGCGACGCGTCAGTCGCGAGACTTCATGGTTCTAAGGTCGCCCCTGTCAGGCGTGGTGGCTGGGCCGCGTTGACGATGGCCGAAATAGACGGCGGCGCAACCAAAAAGGAAGGCATAAACTTACTGTCACAGCACCATCACGACTTGTCTAAGACACTCACATGAGCACAAACCATTAGCGCACCATAAAAGCTGTAGTCTAGATAGTGTTGAACGTCACAGCGGAACACAGTTGAAAGGAGTGCGTTAATTCTGTAATCTAGAGATGCCGCCAAGGCACGCTATTTATGGAAGGCGCAGGCTGGACCCTGCACGTGATGCTGTTTCATGTTCAACAGATAGCTTCCTCTTCCATCCTCCTTAAGGCACAACTACGTTACTACCAGCACCTTAGATTCGCCCCGTGATACACCATGTCAAAGACAGCTTAGATGACCTTGAGCAGTCGAGCTGGCAACTTGAAGCCACCAGGACTCCCAATTTCTTGGACGCAGATGGATACGAAAGTCTAAGCTAGATCCTTGTAATTACGTAGGAGGACTGTACAGACTTGCAAACAAATAAATCAAATCAAATTGGCCCTCGGATTTGATTTGCCTCACGTTCCCGAACCGCGGATTCGATTTAATTTGATTTGACTTCATCCCAATTTGATTTATTTGACTCATTTGACATCATTTGGATATTCTCCGTGGCTCCACTTTTCTCCCTTCAAGAGGCCAATAATATCAGTTTTCATGCGACCCCTGAAGGCCGTAACCATCCGTCTCTGTAGGACTGTCAGTACGCTTGGAAAGCATCGCCAGCGCAGAAAAGACCGCCATCTGCGATAGGCGCGGAAACTGGCGCCTTCGGAGTGACCATGATGTAGTCGTTGTCGGGCAAGCCCGAAAGGGCGCCAGTCGGTATTCGTAAAGATCTATGACAGGTTAAACCCGCCAGTGTCACGATCTGTATTCAATTTGCCTGCTACTAGGTGAAAGCGCCACAAAATCTGCATTATGGACTCTGCGGCGTCAATTTGCGCTGCGATACGAGATAAAAACACGTTCACCCACATTCTCAGGTAACGCGTTGCAGAAAAAGCAACGTTTGTGGCAGGGGCCCCCTGGAGTTGCGCGCTGTAAACGAGGAATAGCGGCCTACCCTAGGGCGTTATTCAAATAGTCAAATATCCAAATAAATCGAGCCATCAGATTTGATTTGATTTAAGTAATTGAAAGGCGGATCTGATTTGAATAAACTTGAATGTCATTTATTTGTTTGCAAGTCTGGGAGGACACACCATACACCCATATGTCAACGGCAACACCCAATTTCTGCCTAATTACGACTACGCAGCCGGCAGACAAGGCTATGGCAGGGCTGTTAATCTGGCAAGGGAGTGAAGAGGTCGGCTACACGCCTCAGAGAAAGCGGTGGCCCTGGAAACACAGCCCAGCCTTCTTCAACTTGGAATAGGGCTTGCAGAACTCAGCCGCTCCGCCCGCCGATGGCTATGGTCCAGGCCATGTCCATAATATTAAGCTGGCGAGGGAGCCAGGGATGATGGCGTCCAGCTCGCTGATATCCAAAGGCTCGTTTTTACAGGAAAAATTAAGAAATTTAAAGCCCTCAATTGCCAACGGCCCCCCACTCCCAAATCATGTCACCGCAAGTCGTAAGCGAACATTGTGTAAAAAGACAACGAACGCATCCGGGACACGAGGGCAATCCCAGTTGCCTAAGTAACTATGACAGACAATTCACCGTGAGTCGTCAAATTTCTATTTCTTATCCCAATTCCAACGCCGATCCTACGCCCCAGACCTTGCCTCAATGATTGCTCTCGCTCTGGCTCCTCCGTCTCCTCCGTGGGGCCGGCTGTTATGGTTTGTGTGCCTCTAGCCCATAGCAGATTTCCCCAAGGCTTGCATTGAAGTACTTGCGGCTTGACAACTAAGTTTGTTGCCCAGGCTCAGTCGATATTGCCTGACCACACACCAGGTCACACCCCAGGTTCAGCAGACAGACGCTTTGCAGTTTCGTTTATTATTACGTTTAAGTACTCCGACTTTCACTTCAATAACCTTGGTCATACTTGCCCTCTTCTTTCCATTTGCACGTCCCCCCCAGCTTACCCTCCAGAAAACGGCAAGTTCCTGACAGGCGCCGAGGGCGGGGCTCCACAGTCATTAAGTCGAATGCTACGCAATCTTTCATCCACTTTTTCGCACAGTTACCCTTTCGTCTGCGGCTTCTCCTCAAAGTTACCCGCTGCACACACAGTCAGTTCCCAACAATCAAGTGGTTACTTTTTGCCATCTGCAACCAGACGAGCATATCGTTCGAGGAAGTCGATATCTTTCCAGTAATGTTGAAAACTGGAACAGGTCGAGATGCTCGCCACAGACTCGTCTTCATTACAAATGGAGGCGGATAACCAAAACTAATTTACGTCTCATAGCATCATTAGCCTGCCTAGCGGCGATGAAAGTAACGCAGAGATGAACAAGGGCGAGAGCACAGTGAGAAGGCTAGAGAACGGGCGAAACTCCAATACGTTAGGCGGGCGCCAAACTTCCGACCCCAACGAGGACGAAGTGACGGAGGACGCGCCGGAGGAGCCCGTGGGTTCCCATTACCCTAAGATAAAGAGGCCGTCGATTTTCAACGATTTAAGCGAGAGCAAGCCCGAGAGTGCCCATACTTCGGCCCCCGCAAAGTCGCCTACCTCACCCACCAGCGGGAATAAAGTCAAATCCAATCGTCAAAGTCTTGGTAGTCCAGGAGTCAAAGGTGTTCTTCTTGAAACATGGAGGGACTCCACTGTACCGGATAACGACAGAGAACACGCCGTTATTGAATTTATCGACGTCAGAGATCGCCTGCGAACTTGCATTCGGCCCAACCCCAAATATGCGGAGTCATTGGAAGAAGACTACCCCCTTTGTCACACACACGATTGTATGGGACAGCCTAGACAGAATGAAAGACTCTTGATTTCCTACATAAAGAGTGGAATAATACGAAACTAAATACTTGTTGTAATACTGCTGCCTGGCGGGCGACAGTATAGCAATGACTGTTGCCTTGAGGCTTGAATGAGCGACTTGACCTTGACACCCTTCCTCCCGGCCCCGGTGGAAGTTGGGTCACCTTTGAGCGCGTTATCTTTTCCGACCATCTAGTTGGCTTGGATCACTTGCAAGTCAAGGAATACACTCGGGTTCGATCAGAGGTGGCGCCAGAAGAAACCAACGAAGCTCGCGTTGAGGCTGAGCACGCCGCTGTTGAGGAAGCCAAACGTCGTGTCAGCGAGTACCCGGCTCTGGAGAATCCTTTGCAGGTCGCATACGGTGTCGATGTGCCGGGAAAGTCAGCCCCCATCTGCCCGGACTTGAAGCGCAGGAGAGTTAGCGGCGGGTTTGCCGCAATCAACCCAGCACCACCCGAGATTGCTCCCGAGCCGGCCGCCATTCCAACTCCGCAGCAGTCTATTGCAGCTCACCAAACCCGGTTCTCGATTGACCCACTGCCGGGGACAAGGCCGACGCGCATCCTTATGGGATATTGGAACCTGTCCAGTGAGGCCGACCCCAAGGATCGCCACGCTGTATATGGCATCTTGGGGCAGAACGACGCGTTCCGCGTTAAGGTGGTGCGAGAAACGAGAGATGGCCGATTTGTTGACGGGAACTTTCCATCTGGGGCTGTGTGCTCTCTGGATCCCCTACGAGGAAGTGGAGTTTGAGCCCCATTTAAAGTCCCTCAACAAGCAGGAAAGGAGTACTGCCGCGTTCGACAGTATCAGTTGGACCGTGGCGAAACATCCGCTGAATGCATTGAAAACAAGACCAAGGCCGTTTACGAAGCGCAGACCCGGGCCGGTACAATGCCGTATAAGCAACCTCACAATGTGACAGTTCCGACGTTTACGGCCTCGCCGCAAGGAGATGGCGATGAGCGCATAAACGGACGACACGGCTACGGCGGTCATGAGCCCCGTCAATCGCATCGAACCGAGCCGGGACCCATCCGAGCCTCACTCAGCGAGAACGAACTTCGCCCCAACCGGCTCCAGAGTACAGAAGCCGCTGAGAGAACCAACGCCTTAGCACGACGTGGAATTGCAAGAGCGGAAGCCGCCCAAAGTCGTGCGGACCGTCATGCCGTCCACAGAGAACGTGCAGCGGCTGCTGCTGCTGCCGATGCTGCTGCCTCCAGCATGCCTCTTGAACACCCTCACAGCACCAACGGCAGAATGCTGTTCCACGAGTCAGATGATATGCAGCGGCTGAATAAAGTTTGGGCCCGACAGGAGACGCTTCGCATGAAGGGCGGTCCGGATGATGCCAAAATTTACGACGGCATAAAATACGAGCGAAAGGCGACTGGACCTTTCATGGGGAAGCTTGTATCGCAGGGCGTGATTATCAATATCGATGGTGAGGATTATGTCGAATACCGCGTTCTCACCAAACCCTCGTTCTTCTAGAGCTGATCGCCCTTGATGTCGAATTGTGCGGTATTCATACCAGAAAACGGCGCATGCGAAACGATGTCCATTGATTCTGCATCTCAAGCATCTCAATCAAGGACCGCAGGGGACGGAAATTAGGAAAAGGGTGAGATACTTCACTCTCTGACGTGTTCACAGGCAGTAATGACGCGCTTGAGGAATGATCATCTAATTCTTTCATAGAAGAAGACAGTGGTCATTTTCCACGATCAGCTTATAAGTTTTGGATGCGGACGGTCAGTTAATACACCTATTCAATACTATGCCAGACCCATTTCATGGACTGCCAACCTTGTAATATTTCGTCCCTTTTGGGGAGTTTCATGGCCAATATCTGCGCCCCTGGCAGACAAGGGACTGTTGTGACCATAACAGGGTCTTAAAACATGTCGAGGAACTTGGAGGAAGCATGCCCACTGTGCACGATAGATTCCGATTTGCGGTTACTGTAGGGCTAAACTCTCCAAAGACCGTCGTTTCTTGTTGCGGCGTTTATCCCGTTCTGTGAAAATCCCGTGCAATATGTAGAACCTGACCTCGAGAAGGTCAAGCTTGCGTCAGCCCAAAGATATTAGTTCCGGACAATGAAAACAGTGCATACCACTAGGCTATACGGAAGTTTGGCATCAAAGAAATCCCGCCCCCCCTTCGCCTTTTCTGTGAATTCCAGAGCCACGGTTGATTCGCAGCTACTATGCTGTTTATGTAAGGAAGGCAACAAAGTGTTGCGATTAAACTTGCTTCTATTAAATTCTGGCTGACAGCTCTCATACCTAGTGGCACGGACCGTGCCACTAGGCAGCAACTCTTTTGCGTGTCATGCTTAGTACATGACTCGTACCAAGCCAACACAAAGAAGTGTCGATCTGGCCATGATGTGATTATTTGTGCATATTGTGTCAGGTCAGTACTGCTGTTGAAATATGACAAATGCAGATACCTGGGTCATTGAAGCTCCTCTGCCCAAATTAGATTCTCAAACCACAAGATAAATGAAGGTGGTCTCCCGTCAGTCCCTGCTTTCACGGCTCAGGGCCATAATACCACTTAGGTTTTAAGTATGTCCTCAACCAGCCTAAATCACTCCAATTGTTCCGTGTCGTCAGACCTTGCCTCTAACGACTCTGAATTTCCCTTTTACGACCTTGAGCAAAAAGTACGATCGACCACCTCTCGTCCTGTTAGGTCCCAATCTGTTGCTTCGGTCGAAATTTGGCGCTGTATGCGCTGTGCCCACGCAGCCGAGGCCACCTCAACAGATAACATCAGCGACGCCGGTATGGTTCGCATCGGTTATAACCTCTATTACTGTGAGCGCTGCGCCAAGGCAGTCAAGTATCCGAAGTAGCAACGTATTTCCATAACTGCTACATGACTTTGACTTCCTTTTTATCTACGACTGATTTCTCGCCTCCTCGCACCATCACCAGTAACAGCACCCAGCCGTACGTCAGCCCCTCCGCAACTATCCCTGAAACTTCCGCTGGGTCATCTACTACCAGTATAACGGGGGGGCTATTTGTCTTAACGATGGTTCTTACACCTGGATGTTGCCTTTGAGACAGACACTTCACAGACTATGGCATATTTTCAAGCGTGCTCGTAGCATCCATTAGTTGGGCCATATTCCCAAACGGCAAAACCGAATGGCTGGCCAACAGTTCGGAGAAAGGTGTCGCTTTCTGGGTACAGTTAAAGTAGAGTCGCGAATGTCATGACTTCTGGTTTTGCAGGGTACCATCCCTTAGCATGTTTCGGTCTTGCGCATTGGAGGTTCCACTGGGTTCGCATTTGTCACTGAATGCTCTTGGCCGGATAAGTCCGGCTCTATTGATTGAAGAAGCAGACTAGGAATAATTGCTGAATGTCATAAACTCATGAATATCAGAGATCAAAGAGCCCAAGTAGCCACTCGAAAATAATTAGACGGCCGCTATAATGCTTCTTTGCTGAGGTAAATGACGCGAATTTCTTGGCCAGGACAGAAGGAACAATATAGAACACAGAGCACAATTCACATCAGATGCTATGTCTCTTGTGTAGTCATACAAAAATTGTAATATTGTAATCATGTTACGCAACGCTTTTCGTGCACAATCACAGGCATGTTTGACATCCCAGGGGCCTCAACAGTAGGTAGAGTCACTGCCAAGTTCGTTAACGGAAGTAGTGCCGCTAAAGCTACTTCTATATAAGCGACCCCCGTCTTCAATTTGAAATGGAATGATTCCCCTGGAGACCTTCTTGACGAAACTTACGGAACAACTGGTCCAATCATGCCAGCCTTGTGAGGTTATGCCAAAAGTGTCACGTTAATAATGTATTCAGCTACCACAAAGTACTCCAAGTAGATCAAATACGTTTAGTAACCCGCGTTCTTACGAGAGGAGGTTGTTCTTGTCTCATTTGAGAGTCTCCGTGAAGGTCATGGCTATTTGCATAAGTACATCTGCTGCCTCCCGCCTTCCTGTAAGGTCTTGGCACAGCCTGTTCCCGACGGCAAAAGCTGACAACTTGGCCATTTTTAACTAAAACGGCTAAAGCATCCTTGTGTCGGTCTTAGAAGCTACGTTCGTTGTGAGATATTTATGGACTTCGGGTACTACAACAGTCATATCGGCCCCCGAATCTCGAAATGGAGGATGAGGTCGAAGCCATATGCTCGGAGCTTGCCAAATCCATTCAGCGAGAGTCTAACCTAGAAATTGTGGTAGACAGGCTTCAAGAACAAATAGTGAGCTTACAAGTTTCGAGTAGCCGTTCGAGTCGGTGTTCATCAGACTCCGGCTACGCCTCCGAAAGACTCAGTGAGTACGACCATAGAAGACAGGAAATCGAAAGAATACAAAGGGAATGTGAAGTGGAGATGGCATCTATCAGACTAGAGAACTGCGCAAAATTGCGTGATGAGCGGCTAAGACGGAAGGTCCTCGAACAAGAGGTTGATCAGTTGACCCAAGAGAAGGACCAAAGATTCGCCCAAAGCGGGGACCTGGAAGTCAAACGCATTATTGATACGTTGGAATCAACATGTGTGGATCTTAGACGCCGCCTGTCAGAGGAAAAGGTGTCTCACAGAAACTTTCAGTGCCTCTTTTTGGCGGTTCAGAGCGAGTTACAACAAGTTTGTGAAGAACGCGACAATTTTAAACAGGCACTTATCCCTCAGCCATGCACCAAATCGGAAAATCTTGACACCAATCCCAATATAAGCATATCGAAACAAACGCAACAGCTCCAATAACGAGATAGAGAGGCGCTTTCGAACACGGTGAGCCGTGACCAGCGCCATACCTCAAGATCAACGTTTGCAGGGGTGTGTTCTTCCTCAAACGCATGGGCCGCAGGATTCAGCGCCATTGATACATACCAATACAACAAGAGGGAAACTCAGCCTACGAGAGAAGTACTGGCAGAGCTGCTGCGAGATGTGGAAGCTCAACGAGATGCTCTTCATATCGCGCTAAAGAATCTCCTTGATAGACAAGAGCTCCAGAGCCGCGAGCACCAAAGAAAGATCGAGGACCTCGAATCTGAGCACCACAGATTAGTTTACGGCAAACCCCCAAGTTGTGCATCAAGACTACTGAATTATAATCCTGTCTCAAGACGACTCGCGAGAGGGCAGCAATAGAACTGAGGAGGCTCCGTTCCTCTTCCTGCCCAAAGACGAATACACAAGGGCGAAGTGAAACTCGCCACAGTCAGCACTCAGCTGGGGCTAGTTGTAAATCTTCCACAACCCTGACATGTCCGTACATGGCCTTATTACCCAGAGCCATTACGACAGACCTTAAAGCTCCACAAGGTATTAGAATCGTATGCCGGGACGAAGACGAACACCAGATGATTAAAGAAATTTTGGAAAATAAGTTGCCGCAGGGCGTTCGAGTTCTACGAGAAGAATACTACCCGATTAAAGTTGATGGGGTTAGTCGCTCGGCCATATTGGACGAATGTGGTAGGGAGCTACAGGGATTAAATCAGACTCTCAGTAACGAGAATGCCACGCAAAAGACCAATGCCAGATGGCTAAGCCATAGATTTCTTAAGGAACGTGGTTCAATTGTGGTTTACCTCAAGAAAGCAGTCGAGGCGTCTCGGTTCTTGCGCGAAGGGTAGTTTTACGCTGGAGGACTCCGGGGGCATACATCCGCCTTTAAGCGTCAACTTCGACCGAACCAGTGTTATAATTGCCAAGAGCTTGCTAACCACAAAGCTTTCCAATGCAAGAAGCCGCAGGTACGCGGAAGATGCGCTCAAGAAGGTCATCACCATAGTGCCTGCACTGAGGCCATTGCGAAATGCGTGTTATGTGGTGGACCCCACGAGTCCTTTAGCAAAACTTGCAGGAAACTGTACCCGTCTCGTAATGAGTAAACGCTTGCGATTAATTCAGCTCAATGTCTGGAAAGGGGACGCTGCGCACGAAAGCTTAATGAACGATGAAGACATTGAAGATGCGGCGGTGGTGGCCGTTCGAAGAGCCCAGGGCGTGGAAGATTAAAGGGCGGCTGCTCACCACCCCCATGGCACATCACAAATGGACGAAAATAGTACCCACGTCCAGCAGGGAAGACATCAGGTGGGCTTATTCAAAGTATGCTGTGGGTTAGAAAGGATTTGTACGCTGAACAAATTCCAATACAGTCATCAGACTTGACGGCTGTGGTGTTGAGGCTTCCAGACAAATGGGTATTAATAGTATCAGTGTATGTGGCGGGTGTTGACAAGCAAGCACTAACGGACACATGCCATATGTTACGGCGAGCAATGGCGGACGCAGGACGAGGTGTAGGCCAGCAAGTAGATGTTGTCGTTGTAGGCGACTTCAACCCACACGACCAACTGGGGGGAGGTGACGAGATTCTGCTGGCCAGACAGGGAGAAGCGGACGAGATCATTGAGTTGATGACAGAATTCTCCCTCAACAGCCTGCTGCCTAGAGGAACAAAGACTTGGAAAGGAACAGACAAGGCGGGGCGGATCCGCGAGACTACCATTGACCTAGTGTTTGCGTCTCAGGATCTAGCGAACGACCTAGTTAGATGTGGACCACACGTTACGGACCATGGATCGGATCATAGAACAATTGAGACGATCTTTGAAACGGCGGTGCCTGAGCCAATACCCCAGGTACGCTTGCTTTTCAAAAACGCTCCATGGAAGAAAATAAATGTCAGGGTTGCCGTGGGCCTGGAGGGGAGCCCAGCCGAGTGTACGGTTCAACAGCAGACAGATCGTCTTATGTCAGTGGTGTTGGAGGCGGTTCACGCCTTAACACTCAAAGCTAAGCCTTTCGCGTATGCGAAGCGATGGTGGACGACAGACCTCACGCAACTTCGCAGAATATACACATACTGGCGTAACCGCGCCAGGACGGAGAGACGGGTAGGCCAGCCGGTTATTGAACTCGAAGAAACGGCCAAAGCCGCAGCCAAACGATACCATAGTGCGATTCGACAGCAGAAGAGATCCCACTGGGATGCCTTCCTTAAGGACGAGGACAACATCTGGGAAGCAGCCAAATATCTAAACCCAGGCGTCGACCCGGCCTTTGGCAAAGTACCTCAACTCGTAAGGGCAGACAAATCTCGGACGGCCTTTAATAAGGAACAAGCTGAAGAGTTACTGGCTACCTTCTTTCCGCCCCTCCCTGTCGACACCGAAGATGAGGGTGAAAGACCTCAACGACCTCCGGTGCCCATGCCAGACCTCACCGTGGAAGAAATAGAACGGCAGCTTCTCCATGCCAAGCCTTGGAAGGCACCTGGTGATGATGGACTACCAGTCATAGTGTGGAAGAAAATCTGGCCCGTGGTGAAACACAGGGTCCTGGCGTTATTTCAAGCATCATTGACAGAAGGAGTGTTACCTGACCAATGGCGGCACGCAAAGATCGTACCCTTGAAGAAATCTGACAAACCTGACTATGCTCTCGCCAAAGCATGGAGACCAATATCATTGCTGTCAACACTCGGCAAGCTTCTGGAAGCTGTGCTCGCGGAAAGGTCGTCTCACGCGGTTGAGACTTACGGCTTGCTACCTACAAATCACTTCGGGGCACGCAAGCAGAGGTCAGCAGAGCAAGCCCTGATGCTCCTTCAAGAGCAGATATATGCGGCTTGGAGAGGGCGTCGGGTGCTGAGCCTCATTAGTTTTGGGGAATTGCTATACCGGCATGACACTTTGGCTACACCGGCACCGGCATGACGTTTGCTCCTTCTGATTGGCTCGACTTTTCCTGTTAACCCCCCTTGGATTCTGCCGCCTCCGCCCGAAGTACCAAGGCAGGGTCGGTGTTCCCCAAGCCAATCCACTAGTCATCGAAGTGGGCGAAGGCGAGGTCGACCAGCAGGGAGTCTCACCAAGTCCACCCTTTCCAAGAAAGCACGAGAAGCAAGTCCAGAAACAATGGCACAAACCAACAGCAAGATAAGCGTCCCAACCCGGCAACGGAACGATTGACTTCCTGTAGTTCTTGAAGCTGGGATGACACCAGGAGTGCGTTACAGTGGTCGAAGGACGCAGCCGAATGTTCGCAGAACAAGGAGTCAATGGGAACTTTCCAAGAGTGAGGAGGAAGATGCAAGCTGTATTGTCGCTAAACAGTAAGATAAAACTGAAGCTCTTACAGTAATATAATATCCAGTTATCTTTCTGTTTTGGCAACTCACTGAGCCGATTATGAACTTCTATTGATCGCGATGCTCAATTCAGTTCCCAAATGGTGGGAAAGTAGTTGCAGCACGATTGTGCACCTGGGCTTGTGATAGACCACCAGGCTGTAAGCGATTTAGGAGATGTTAGGGAAACTTGCTACACCGCCTTTGTTGAGAAG